TTGTCTCTGTGTGGCCTGGTGTGGCTGTGTGGCCATGTGGCCTGGTGTGGCCGGGCCGTATAACCAAGTTCTGAGCAACAGCAGTGAGTGTTGTACCTCCAGGAAGCTTCTTTAGAAGGGGGGGGGCCCTTCTCCTTGCCACTTATGCTTCCCCCTTTCTGCTGGCTGGAATACGGGTGTGACAGCTAGAGCCTGTGCAGCCATCCAGGACCATGAGGTGGTGCAGGAAGATGACAGTGGCAGAAGAGTCAACAGGAACTGGGGTCCCCAGTGGTTGGGGAGGGAGCTCCCCTCTCCCTCAAGCTCTTATGTGTGTGAGAAGTCACCATGGCTGGGCAGAAGCCACTCTAGTGTTGTTTGCTAAAAGCAGTCACATCTCATCCTAAGCACACGGCCTGCCGGGAGGAATCCACCTGTGGCAGGGTCTTGAGGACGCCTGGGCCAGGCAGCACTGGGTCCGTGGCGGGGAGCGGCCAGAGGGCTTGGTGAGAGCTGTCCTGCTCTCTGGCTGTGGCCGGGTTTTGTTGCAGGTGGGCGTTCCTAGTGTCCCTCTCCCGCAGTGAGAGGGATGCCCAGACCTGGAGCTTCCGCCATGGATGCACGTGTCTCAGCCACCGGATCAGGGGGTACTCGGAAGGAACTTTGACGGACAGGGACCCTGGAGATTTTCTGGCCCAAGTTTCTTTCAGGCCTCATGTTGGATTACCTTCTGGCCTGACGTCTCTGACCTGCACGTGAGTGGCCGTTGGGTGGGAGGTCCTGGCTGGTGGCTGGAGGACACGTGGACACTCAAAGGCCTACGGCCAGTTCCAGGTTGGCAGGTTTCTGCAGGTGCTGTCTCTGCAGCCAGGGGCTGGATTCTCACTGGGCATCTGCGTCCCATGGCCCCAGCTCTCTCACATGTAAGCGGAGGCGGAAACTTGAGGCTAGATCCGGTACAGCTGCCCTGGGCCCAGGACGAGCTGCAGGCAAGACCAGAGGCTTCAGCGGGGTCCACCTCTTGGCAAGGGCCTTGGCCAGAGGGAGGGATGTCCGTCCAGGAGCCAAGCAGGCAGCACTGTGATGGCGCCAGGGACGCGTGTAAGCAAGGGACTGTGGTTTGGTTTTTTGAGAATGCAAAGTTCTCACTCACAAGGAAATGATTCCTGGTGTCTGTTCCCTGGACACACGGGGCAGTCTCAGATCACCACCCTTTTTTGTCTTCTTTTAGGTAGATGGCTTAAAGCAAGCTGGCCCGGCCTTGCTGGCAGGTGGTGACGTCTTGCCTGGTCCTAGGGCCTCCGTGGGGCAGGGCCCTGGAATCTGAGAGCTTCCAGCTCTGAGCAGGGGCTGCTGACTAAGGGAGGGGCTCTGGGAGCTGCCTCCAACCTTGGGGTGACGATGGTGGGCCCAGGTCGACAGAGCTGGGCTCCCCGCGCAGTGGGGCTCCCCAGCCTGGGGCCAACATCTCCAGGCCTCCCGGCCACGACTCCTCTTTTCCGAAGCCATGATTGTTTTAGTTTTCCCTTACTTAGGGATGAAAGCTATCCTGGCTGGAACTGGAACTTCAAAATGACTCTGTTTCCTCTGCAGGGGTCTTGGCCGGCATCCTCAAGTCCCCAGGCCCGAGGGCTGTGGTGGGGGTGGGGCTCCAGGTACTGAGTGGGACCCTCTGCCCAGCACCCTGCCGTTCTGGGCCGGAGAAGCCTCATCTCTCCACCATGTCCCAGGGTGCTGTGACGGTCACATGTTGGGGGCAGATTTTCAATGGGAGATGGGAATCGGGAAGAATAGTTTGCGTCGACTGCTACAGGGAATGAGGGTAACGATCCGTGGGTCGTGGTTTGGAAGCAGCAAGCCTGATAAATCTGTCCTAACTGGGTTACGGACTGCGCAAAGAAGGGTCGATAAAGACCACGGAGGCCGGGCGCGGTGGCTCACGCCTGTCATCCCAGCACTTTGGGAGGCCAAGGCGAGCAGGTCGTGTGAGGTTAGGAGTTCAAGACCAGCCTGGACAACATGGTGATGTTGTCCCGCCTCTACTAAAAATACAAAAATTAGCTGGGCCTGGTGGTGGGCAACTGTGATCCCAGCTACTCTGGAGCCTGAGGCAGGAGAATCACTCGAACCTGGGAGGTGGAGGTTGCAGTGAGCCGAGATCGTGCCATTGCACTCCAGCCCAGCAACAGAATGAGACTCCAGCTCAAAAAAAAAAGACTAAAGAAAGAGAGTGGAGGGCACCCCGGTGACGTCCATCGTAGACTCTGAAACAGTGGAACCCCTCACCCGGGCCCGGCCTTCCCACTGTGCTTGGCCTGTGCACTTTCCTGCCAGTGATCTGGATTTCACATGGCACCCAGCAGCCCGGGACACTCTGCCAAACCTGACAGTGTTCCCAAGGCGTAGGGCCTGATGCTTGGTCCTGGGGGGTCCACGTGGGGTTGCTGGACGGCTCAGCTGTCTCGGTAACTGCTCCTCCTGAGGAGGGCTGTGTGGACCGAGCTGCCTCTGGGCGGGGCCGCAGCGCGCGGAACAAGACGTCGCTCAGCAGCTCCGCCCAGGAGGGACCTGTGGACTCAGAGCTACCTGTCCGGGTCCTGCTGGCTCCTTGGCCCAGTCGCCGAGATGGGAGACAGACAAAGCAAGGACCCGGCCAACTGTGCCCAGGGGAAATCTGCCCAACCAGCCCCTTCCCATGAGGAACTTCTCCAGGTTTAAGAAAAGGAAAATAAAAGCAGCCTGGCGTGGTGGCCATGCCTGTAATCCCCGCACTTTGGGAGGCTGAGGCGGGAGGATTGCTTGAGCTCAGGAGTTTGAAACTACCCTGGGCAACACGGCGAGACCCTGTCTTTATAAACAAACACAAAATATGAGCCAGGCATGGTGGCTCGGGCCTGTGGTCCCAGCTACTTCGGAGGCTGAGGTGGGAGAATCACCGGTGGAGGCTGCAGTGAGCAGAGATCACGCCCCTGCACTCCAGCCTGGGTGACAAAGTAAAAGCTTACAGGGCATGCCCTCCCTGACCCCAGCCTCCGCCTCTTTGCCTTGGTTTGGACTTGACTGCACCGGACCAGGCCAGGCTCGTCCCCTCCAGGCCACCCTGCACAGGCCTCAGTCACCCTCCCTTTACCGATGAGGAAACTGAGGCACAGAGAGGTCCGGCTGCACACTGGTGTGCAAACAGCAGCCCAGCCTTCCAGGTTTGGTCTCAGATGCACTCACGAGGTCCAGGCAGAGCTTCCCACAGGCCTGCAGAGCTCGGAGCAAACTCCAAATGTCTGGGGTTCAAGCCTCAGCAGGTCTCACAAAAACAAAAGCACGTTCCTCTAGGCGTCCCACTGGAAATTTCTTTTGTGCTGGAGAGTTTATGGCTGGACAGTCACATCAGAGCCAAGCCAGAAATAGTCTGAGCCGGGCTGGGATTTGGGGAGGCCCCCAGGTTGGGTGTGCCCAGACCCAGGCTGCAGGGCCGGTGCAGGGAGCCGGGGGTGGGGTGTGATGCAGGCACCAGGCTGGTTTCAATCGAGACCCCAGTTCTTGGCTCCAAAAATCTCTCTAAGTAGAAGGCGTGGCGCCTGGTAAGTACTTTTATGCTGAAATGTGAGAGCTATTCCACCAATGTGGTGTAAAATCGCTTCTATAAACTGAGGTGAAGGCAGACGAGGGGCGAGGGCTGGGCCCCCCGTGGCCCTGCTGGCCCGAGGCTTTGCTGTGCTGGCCTCCCGTGCAGAGGTGCCGGGTCCTGCTGCCCCACACGGGCCACCCGCACACTCTCTTCTGTGAAAGATGCCCCGGCCCCGCCGCTCCTCTCACGGCCATTGTTTGGAGCGGGGCTGGTCAGATCCTAGGAGAGTGAGCTCCCTGCAAGCGCAGACCCCCGAGGCTCTGAGGCTCCGGGGCTTCTGTCACCAGCTAGGTGAGGTTTCCGGGCAGGGGCACAGGCACCAAGGTGGCCCTGCTGGCGGAGGCGCCTCCCAGGGTGGCGAGGGCCATCTTGCTGCCGCCTCCCCCACCGGCTAAATCTCGGCTCTGGGCTCACCACAGGCTCTCAGATCTGCCCCCCGCAAGGAGCGCCCCAGGCTCAGATCCTCACTGTGGCAGCCGGGGACCTCAGCTGTCAGCTGGGCCCTAATCAGAGGCCCCCAAACTCAAAGTGCCAGGCATTTGTCCAGTGGGGACCCCTGCGCCCGACTCCCGTTTATTGAGCCTTGAGGTGCAGGGCTGTGGTGAGGAGGACCCAGCGGCCAGCAGCACTGCAGGGCCCCCCAGCGCCCCCAAGGGTGTCCCCTGACTCTGGCCCTGAGCCGCACCCCTTGAGTTTACAGCAGGCTGAGCTGCACGGGAAGACAGAATGCCACTGGGCACGGTCAGCTACAGCGATGAAGCTTCCATTCAACTCCACGAGCAACTCTGCAGCGATCCGTGTGAAGCCCAGGCCGCACATTCCATGGAAGCACAATTCTCACCCGGCCCAGCCTGGGGGGCAGAGTTGGGGGCTGGGGGGCTCTGCTGGAGCACCTGGAGCCTCATCTCCATGAAGAAACTCGAGGTATGGCAAGTGACACCCGTTTTCCTCCTGGCTGCTCAAGAGAGGCCTGAGCATCTCCGCAGGAAACCCTGATCTCGAGGGGGCAGTTCGCAATGTGGCACCCCAGAGCCACGGCTGGCAGCCACTGTGGGGGCTCCCGGGCGGCAGGAGTGGCTGGGGCCATGTCCAGGATGGCCACGGGCCTCCAGGCCTGGGTGAGTTTGCCCTGAGAGGACCCCACGAGGCTGCAGCCCCTGCCAGGCTCAGGGCAGACGAACAATTGACCTGAGCGTCCTCAGCCACCTGGGACTGCTTGTCTGGGGATGTGGGCTGGTCGGCCCTGCCTCCTTTGTCCCACGCGTGATGACTGACCCCAGGCGTGGCTTGCTTCCTCACCGAGGCCTGCTCCGGCCTGGTTCTGGGCCCCTACGACCCCACACTCCCTTGACTGCTGGGGTCACCCACCCCCAACACGTTTGTGAACTCCACTCACCAAGCTGGTCACTGAGGGTGTCCTCCTGGCCATGGGCGGCATCCGAATCCAGCTCCTGGTCTCCCCCAGGCAGGGGCATGGAGGTTTCTGCAGCTCCCTTGGTAGCTCTGGGCCCCAGCACCCCAGCTTCACGGCTGGACACAGGATAGGGGATGCATTCGAACCCACTGCAAAGGAAGGGGAGCGGCTTGGCTCTGCTTGCTCCACAGCAAGCTAGGGTGAGTGAGACAGCGTGGCCCACGCCCTGGACCCTGGGATGTGCCTAGCCCTGAGTCCAGGGAGCACTACTCAGCCTCTCTGAAGGGGGGGGTCTCCGGCTGGGATGGGACCAACGCAGACCCAGAGAGAAAGGCCTCGCCAGGGAGGAGACGGCAGGTCTCGGCTTGAGGAAGAGCTGCCTGCCACCCCCGTTATTATTTATGATGATTCCAACAGCGTCGACTCTCGGGTGTGTTCTGACTTTGACGGTGGGTCCAAGTTTACCCCAAATGCCCGACCATCCTTAACTCTGGAGAAGGGCTGGTGGGAAAGGGAGTCAGCGCTGCGGCTCAGCCTCACGTCTGATAGCCCGGCACTGCTAAGTTCTGACTGTGAATGGTACAATTTGTGGATTTCCACGTCGTGGGGCTTAGAGTGAGGCCTCCTCTTGGGGTCCTGCAGCTCAGGCTTCTGCGTGTGGGTTCGTGAGCAACCTGGCCTGGTGCAGTGTGTTCCTGGGAGGCCTGGTGCGTGTGCGTGGGGAGTGGCACCCGCATTCCTCCTGGCTGCATCAAGAGAGGCCTGAGCATCTCTGCAGTGGACCACCCTCCCACGCGCACCGAGGGCTGGGGTCCTGAAGTCTTCACTCCAGACACGGACCCGGGCCCAGAGGCTTGGGGGCCGAGCGCTGGGGGAGACTAGGGCCTCTGACCAGGGGCTCGCTGTCTCAGAAGGCAAGAAGGGCCATGGCAGAGGTCAGATACTGAAATTCAAGGGAGCTGTTTCCTTAAACAGACGTCAAGTATTTCCTTTGTCATAACCAGGACTTGGTCCAGGGAAAGAAGAACAAGGAATTAACATGATCTAAGCGAACTCAAAACAAACTCACGTGGTAGAGTTCTCACTGAAACGCATGCTCAAGGTGCCCAGCTGCCTTCACACAGGGTCGTCAGGGAGTGGGAGGCTGGCCTCCGTGCCCAGGCAGACTCCTCTCCCCACAGATACTGAGGGAGTCCGGGCCTGAGACCAGGAACGAGCCCCAAGAATCCACCTCTGAGTCCCCCAGCAATCTCTGACCTGGGACAGCTGCAGCCTCTGGACGTGACACATTTTGAGTGAGAACGCGTGGAGGCTGGAGGGTGGAGGCGGGTGTGCCTGCAGGAGGTATCACGGGCCAGGGATCACAGCCGATTTCCGAAGTTTATGAGCAGGTTTTAAAGATGGCTGGCACCATGGCTGGGGCCTACAATCCTGGCACGCTGGGAGGCCAGGGCGGGAGGATCGTTTGAGCCCAGGCAGTCAAGGCTGCAGTGAGCCTTGATTGCTCCAGCTTGGGCGACAGAGTGAGGCCCCTTGATGAGGAAAAAGCTTCTTTGGAAAGAGAGGAAGGAAGGAGGAAAGAAGGAAGGAAGGAGGGAGGGAGGGAGGGAGGCAGGGACGTCAGCCAGCCTCACTCAGGAACACAGCAGTATGGCCACAGCCCCGGCCTCTGTGGCTCTGCCTGGCTCCCCTTCCTCCCAGGCCCCTTGCCATCTGGGGTGCCTTCATCCCCATCTTCCCTCCACTGCGCTGTACATCTGTGTCTGGCTGGTCCTGGCTGCGCCCAGCCCTGCATCAACCCTGGCGGGTGGGGGGCACGTGGGCAGCAACAGAGCGAGGGGCGGCGGGGGCTCCGGGTGGAGCTTATTCTCATCATTCCCCCTGAAAGCTAAGGAGGGACCCCCTGCCCCCCTGCCCCTCCCAGGGCGTCACCGGCGTCCCCTGTACTCACAATGGGGTCTGGATGAGCGTCTCTTGGCTGTCTCTGTCCACTTGGAAAAAGCTGACCTCAGAGTACGCCGGCAGCTGCACGTATCTGACAGCCGCTGAGATCTGCAGGACCCGGCCGCTCTCACCTTCCAGGAGACAGGAGCAGGCCGTGAGCACTCACAGGCACCCCAGAGCGGGGTGCATGGGCGCAGGCTCACCAGGACTCCACCTGCGGGCAGGGGCTCGGGGCAGGCTTCTGGGACGCCGTGTTTATAACAGCAGGGCCACATTTGCCGGCGGCTGTGACTGCTGAGGACCCTGGCTTGCCTTCTGTGGCTTCTCTGCTCCTCTCCCATGCCCTGTAGAAGTGTCCCGGCCCTGCTATCTCTGGTGCTGGCCACACTCACCCCAATGCCTCTGCACCCCTCTCCTCAGGTCCTGGATCCCAAATCTCCACCTCTGGGCCCTGGCCTGGGGCCAGCACACTATGGGAAGGCCTCTCTGTGCTGGCCAGCCTCAGGGGTTCACCTCGGGCACACCCAGGCCCTGGGCTGGTCAGGGGCGTGGGGTGGCACTGGCACTCACAAGTTCCTGGGGCCTCCATCACGGTCCTCGTCACCCTGGTGGATATCAGGCTCATCTGCCACCCTGACCTGGGGGCATGGGCTCCCCTCTCCACCAAAGTACCCAGCACAGGGCCTGGCACACAGCCAGTGCCCACTAAATGCCAAGCCATCTGCTCCAGGTGCAGGTGCCTGTACTCCATCACTCCTGGGAACCTCGGGCTGCAGTGGCCCCCAGAGGACCGTGCCCAAGGAGTGGATATCACTGTCCCTCTGAGTTGCCAAGATGCTCTGGGCCCTGCTGGGCAGGTGGAGGTGGTGGAGCTGGGTATTCAGCCACACCCAGGAGATCCCGTGTTGGGGGCCGGATAGCAGGGAGGAGTGGCTTGGGCACCACGGGTGGAGGCAAGATGGCTGTGCCAAGAGGGGCCGGGAGGAAGAGGCAGGAGGCGGGCGCAGTGGCTCACGCCTCTAACCCCAGCACTGTGGGAGGCGAGGCAGGCAGATCGCCTGAGCTCAGGCGTTTGAGACCAGCCTGGCCAACATGGTGAAACCCCATCTCTACTAAAAATACAAAAATTAGCCGGCTGTGGTAGTGGGTGCCTATAATCATCCCAGCTCCTCAGGAGGCTGAGGCAGGAGAATCGTTTGAACCCACGAGGCAGAGGCTGCAGTGAGCTGAGACCATGCCACTGCACTCCAGCCTGGGCGACAGAGAGAGCCTTCGTCTCGGAAAAAAAGAAAAGAAAGAGGAAGCGGAGGGAGGTGAATGCATGGGGGCCCCAGAGTGGATGCCGAGCTTTGGGACAGGCCCCCAAGTTCACAAAGGAATCGGGAAGTGACTGGACTTCAGCGACATTGGCACTCGGACAAAGCAGGGCCCAGGCAGGCTCCCACTTGGGGTGGCCATGGAGGGGTGACCTCAGAGCCCGGAGCTGTGCCCGACCACCCAGTTGAAGTATTACATCCTGCAGCCCCAGCATGTCCAGGGCCTGCTCGCGTGCATTCTGAGGTCACGGTCGCATGGAGGAGAGGTCAACAGGAAGCCAACTCTCATCTTACGAAGATCTGGCAAAGGACACACGACTGGGAAAGAACAGACGTCAAATGTCGTGTAAAAACTCCAGCGTAGCCTGCTGGACTTCTGTATGGGGATGGAGTGACTGGGCCTGAGTGACACCCCTGGTTCAAACAACCGAGAAAGCAGACAAAGTGCAAGGAAACTTGATTGTCAGAATCACGGACACCTCAGGACAGTGACCTTGAAAGAAGTAAAGAAGGTGTGGACTCTACAATTGCCCTGGCCACTGCCTTAAAAGAACGTGCAGGATGAGCTGCAGGCAGGAAACTGAGGCAGAGTCCAACTAAACCCCTCAGTTGAGGAAAAAAGAGCAGACACCGTGGGGAACAAGACACACAGAGTTTTAAAGTTCAAAGGGCGGAGCAGCAGAGGAGAGGACCCTGAGCAGAGGGAGGAGGCTGCAGTATTCAGCGGAGCACCGGTCAGCACACACAGAAGGACACTCCACGAGGCTGGGGAAGAACCGTCTGAAGAACTAGAGGGACGGGGACCTGGGGCTCACACAGGACTGGGCATCGCGCCTGTTCTCAGCCAGCTGGGAAAACGGAGAAGTCACAGGAAGCTGGGGCAAGCTCTCAGAAGGGTCTTGCGACAGTCATGGGGAGCAAATTGGTGTGAGGCAGACGGGTCTCCAGCAGCCGTAACAGATCATAAAAGCAAGACCCGAGAGGATTAAAGTGTCTCCAAGTCACCGAACTGTACCCCAGAACAAAACTCAAGAATATTTACAGGAATACAAAAATATCCGACAAATTTTGTACAGGAATACAAAAATTTACGATGTCTGGCACCCAATCAAAGATTACGAGGCATGCAAAGAATGCAGGAAAGCGTGGCCTGTGACAAGGTGAAAAATCCATCGACGGGAAGTGGCCCAGAACTGACTCCGATGTTAGAGTCAGCAGTAAAGGACATTTAAACATTCCTATTATAACTGTGTTCCATGTTCAAAAGTGAAACAGAGACACAGAACATATAAAAAGAACAAAGAGCCGGGTGAGGTGGCTCACGCGTGTGGTCCCAGCACTTTGGGAGGCCGAGGCAGGCAGATCACTTAAGGTGAGGAGTTCAAGACCAGCCTGGCCAATATGGCGAAACCCCATCTCTACTAAACACACAAAAAATTAGCTGGGCGTGGTGGTGTGTGTCTGTCATCCCAGCTACTTGGGAGGCTGAGGCAGGAGAATCACTTGAACCTGAGAGGTGGAGGTTGCAGTGAGCCAAGATGGTGCCATTGCCCTCCAGCCTAGGCAGCAGAGCAAGGTTCTGTCTCAATAAATAAATAACTAAATAAATAAGAAACAAGAACAGAGTCAAACTTCTGGAGATGAAAACTACAATGTACGAGATAAAAAATATGTTGGATGTGATTCATAGCAGGTTAAACATTGCAGAAGAAAAGATTTATGAACCTGGAAATGCAGCTGACCCTGGGCCAACATAGGGATTAGGGCCGCTGACGCTCCCGCAGTTGAAAATCCACGTGTCAGTTCTGACTCCCCCAAAGCTTAACTGCTATAGCATACTGTTGGCCCGAAGCCTTGTTGAGAACAGAAACTGTGAACACATACTTTGTATGTTCTATGTATTAAATGCTGTATTCTTATAATAAAGTAAGCTAGAAGGAAGTGTCATTAAGGGAATCATAGTTAAAAAAAAAAACATGGCTAGGCGGGCGCAGTGGCTCACACCTGTAATCCCAGCACTCTGGGAGGCTGAGGCTGGCAGATCACAAGGTCAGGAGTTTAAGACCAGCCTGGCCAATATGGTGAAATCCCATCTCTACTAAAAATGCAAAAATTGGCCAGGCGCAGTGGCTCACTCCTGTAATCCCAGCACTTTGGGGGACCAAGGTGGGCAGATCACCTGATGTCAGGCGTTCAAGACCAGCCTGACCAACGTGAAAAAACCCCGCCTCTACTAAAAATAAAAAACTAGCTGGGCATGGTAGCGCATACCTGTAATCTCAACTACTCGGAAGGCTGAGGCAGGAGAATCGCTTGAACCTGGAGGCGGAGGTTTCGCTGAGCCGAGATCATGCCATTGCACTCCAGCCTGGGCAACAAGATCAAAACTCCACCTCAAAAAATAAATTAGCTTGGTGTAGTGGTACGCACCTGTAATCCCAGCTACTCGGGAGGCTGAGGCAGAAGAATTGCTTGAGCCTGGGAGGCAGAGGTTGCAGTGAGCCGAGATTGCACCACTGCACTCCAGCCTGGGTGACAGAGTGAGACTGTCTTAAAAAAAAAAAAGCATATTTCCTATTCATTAAGTGGAACCGGATTATCATGAAGATCGTCATCCTTGTTACCTTCACACGGAAGAGACTGAGGAGGAGGAGGGAGAAGAGGGGTTGCTCTTGTTGTGGGGTGGCCGAGGCAGAGGAAAACCATGTATGAGTGAATCTCGCAGTTCAAACCTGTGTCATTCAAGGTCAACTGTAGAGCTATAGAAGGCATTCCAAACAAACCGTGGAGGAACAAGAGTGAAAAAGAAAAAACAAGAAGGAAGGAAGGAAGGAAGAAAAGAAGGGAACCAGTGAACAGAGGAGCCACCTCAAGTAGCCTGATCGTGGGTAATACATGGGAGAGGCCGTGCCAGAAAAATTACTGGAAGAAATAATGGTTGAAAAATTTCCACATTTAATGAAAACACCTGAGTTCAGGAGTTTGAGACCAGCCTGGCCAACATGGTGAAACCCCGTCTCTACCAAAAATACAAAAATTAGCCAGAAGTGGTGGCGGGGACCTGTAGTCCCAGCTACTTGGGAGGCTGAGACAAGAGAATCACTTGAACCCTGGAGGCAGAGTATGCAAGGAGCCAAGGTCGTGCCACCGCACTCTAGCCTGGGCAACAGAGTGAGACTCTGTCTCAAAAAAAAAAAAAAAAAAAAAAAGAAGAAGAAGAAGAAAAAAGAAAGATACAGCAGGTTCTATGTTCTATGTCTGGCAAAATTATCTATAAAAAAAATGAAGCTTTTGGGAGGCTGAGGTGGGAGGACCACCTGAGGTCAGGAGTTTGAGACCAGCCTGACCAACATGGTGAAAACCTGTCTCTACTAAAAATACCAAAAAAAAAAAAATTAGGCGTGGTGGCGGGCACCTGTAATTCCAGCTACTCTGGAGGCTGAGGCAGGAGAATCGCTTGAACTTGGGAGGCAGAGGTTGCAGTGAGCCGAGATCCCACCATTGCGCTCCAGCCTAGGCTACAGAGAAAACCCTGTCCCCGCCTCCAAAAGAAAAAAGAAAAAAGAAAAAAAAAAAAAAAAGAAATTAAAATCAAGATGTTTCCAGACATACAAAAGCGGAAAGAATTCATCACTAGCGAACCTGTGCTACAAGAAATATTAAAGATGACGTCCTTGGAGGCAGAGGAAAATGAGAGCAGATGGAAGTATGGACCCACAGAAGGAGCGAGCAGAGGAGGCTGTTTTCTGTTTATTAAGTAAACGTTAAAACCTAAGTGGTCATTTGGACAAAAATAACAATGTATTATTAATTTC